TTCCTATAGTCATTGAAACTATGATTAAAAAAAGGAAAATTTATATTTTTAGTATTAAAATTTAGTTAAATTTAATCCTCCTCGGACTCAATGATATCATTTTAATAATATATCTTTATAATTAATTGTCTGGCCGTAAACCACACAACTTTTGAACTCCTAAATCCTAACGTAACAGATACCCGGGTGCCCAAATGGCCAAATAAAAGCCTATTTATTAAAGTGCATATTGAATGGGGGGGAAATGATAATTTTTTTAAACACTACATATTTTTACAAAAAGAACATCTAGTCCTACTAGTATCGTAATTTTGCATTTTTATTGTCTAGTTTGAATATCATGCTATCAGCCACACAAGTCTTACCAAATAGAGTCAAAAGTTGTGAAGTAGTTCTTGTTTGAAAGACTTGAAATTGTTTTCTTGAAATGCAAAGTACATGAGACTGGTTAGCAATAATGTTTTAGTGATAACTTAACACTTGTGAATAAGCATATGGTTGTGAAACATATTAAATCCCACTGTAACCAAGTCTTGGTGGATGCCAAAGTCAATGCAATCCGTGAATTCTGGACTGCAGGCTCTTAAGTGTCAGGCTCAAGTTCTATCCAGAATGCTATTTGGTGTACTAATGATCCTGGTTGTTGCTTATTTGCTTTTCTAGCGTTATGCCTCCTCACATCATACCATGCATGTTACTTCCATACTGTTATTATTAGGGGCAGGCTGTGGCCTTGCAGGAAAGCTGTGTATCAACACATTAGGAGGCAGTGGGTATCATTGGCTAATCTACTAGGAGTCTCTATGCTTATTACATTTCTTTTCCAACTTATTTTTATCAATCTTATGTGTCTTCCTCAATGGGCATGTCACTACACCTTGGTTTTAAAAGGCACGAGGCGCCTTGAGGCGGTTTCTTTGATTTACCCGAGGCGCGAGGCGCTAGGCGGTGATGCGCGCGCATCACGGATCTCAACCACATTTCCCTCGTTAAATATATTTTTAGTACTTCTACATGAATCACTCTTCTCAAAAATACTTCAAACTATTGAACTATCTTAATAAACATCATAAGAGAAACAAAATATTAATTAAAGAGAATAAGACAAAAGCAAGAAATATATGTTTAAAGGCATAATTGCCAAAAGTCAAGTCACAAAACTCAATCTTAAAGCTTCAAAACATAATTAAACTTGCAAGCAATATTGTCAACAATATTCATCACTGTCATCATCCTTATTATCGAGAGTAGCAAGCTCAACATCGTCATTTCCTTCATCATCAGTTACTCCTAAGTCTTCCTCCCAAGTTTCTTCAACAATCCTCTTGCCTTTGTCATTGTTTGATGTGCTAGCTCCATCATTCCTAGCTGCTGATCTAGTGACGTAACTAGGCTCATATGCTCCTGCAGCTCTAGCAACTGCCCCCCATGTCAAAGTATCATCTTCAAACACAAAATCATCATCTTCGTCATCATTCTCCATTCTTCCGAGCAACCACTCATTACTTTCATCAATCTCTTCTAACAGAATGGGATCGGTGGTGTCTTTCCTCTCATACCGTCTTTTCAAAGCACAGTTATATTTCACAAAAACTAAGTCATTCAAACGACTTTGTGCCAATCGATTTCTCTTCTTAGTATGAAGCTGTCAAAATGAAATTATGTAAATATTTGAAATGTAGAAAGAATTTCCACATCGGTTATAACCGATGTGAAAAACCTATGCTCCGGGAAAAATTGAAGTTTTTCTACATCAGGCACTGAACGACCGATGTAGAAAGAATTTCCACATCGGTTAATTGACCGATGTGAAAAGTCTCTACTTTTCACATGGGCTGGAACCACATCGGCTGTTTGACCGATGTGAAAAACCTTTTTTGACCGATGTGAAAAGCCTTTTTTGTACTAGTGATAACTTATGTGAATTTTGACTCTGACATAAAGTGGTGAAAATGGAGATAGGAGAATTGATGAAAAATGTACTAATAGAAATTGAGAAATGAAAGAATGATATGAATATAAAAAAATGATAGATAACAGGAGAATGCAATATTACATTCAATTGAAGAATTAGATTTTACTCATGAATTATTTATTCCAAAATAAGCTAATGTTGAATATGAGGGACAACAACATAAATTATTAATTAAATAAAGCTATGATATTACGCTTAATATCCTGTTAAGAAAGGTATATTTATATCGCTCCATATGTTATAAATAAAATTACGAGATATTAACAACTTCATTAAAGGGTAGACTTTTAAACAGGATATCGTATATTTTGAAATACATTAAAATAACTTCTTTGAACAAAGTGAAATAAATTTAACTAGCCACTACGAATGAAATGGTATTACATGATTCGAAATAATTATGTTGATCCATTTCATATCATTCCCGATAAATAAAGTTTAATATACAAATGTTATGAAGTTGTATTCCCGATAAATAAAGTTTAATACACAAATGTTATAATGAAGTTGTATTACATATTCAATATGGACTAATATATAGATATTAAGGATTTTATATTGAACCTTGTTTATAAGCTAATACCGAATTGAGTTAGTTGATTTTGTTTATTATTATTAAATGAATTGAAAAGCTACATGAAATAAAATGTATTATTTTGATATTGATTAATCAAACGGATAAAATCAAATCTGGTTAAGTGTATATTTTTCAGTTTAGTATATTTGTGATTTCATATTTAATTGATTTACTATGTGATATTTAATACTGAAATTGTATCGAGAAAGAATGAACACCACTAAGCAAGATTTGCTTAGCGCGTTGGATTTTTGTCCTTCGTGTAGGTGCGTAGTCGGTACGAGGCAAAGGTCAAGGAGGAAAGCATTTGGGAGCAACTTGCAATCAGCATAGAGTCACACTTGCATTTAGTAATATCTCATGTTAGTTTGCATAATTAATATGTAATCAACATGCTAGTACTTCCTCAGTCCCAAATTGTAAGATACATTTACTATTCATTTGGTCAATATAAATCATTCTTAATCTTTTACTTTAGGGAAAATGGAAACTACTAATCCAACCTTTTAGCGGTCTTTTTACAATAGTCCACCCTTTTGATTATTCATGAATAATACAACCTTTGAACCCCATCTTCATTTAATGGTCCCTGGCCGATTTATGACCTGTTATTCCAAGTTATTTTCTTATCTTTGCAAAACATTATGTGATCATAAGGTGGGAATTATGGTATTATGTTTTACAAAGATAAGAAAAAAACTTAGAATAGCATGTCATAAAGCGGTCGGGGACCAATGAATGAAGATGGGGTGCAAAGGTTGGATTATTCATGAATAATCTAAAGGTGAAACTATTGTAAGAAGACCGCTAAAAGGTTGGATTATTAGTTTCCATTTTCCCTTTACTTTATATATCAAAAGTTTATGAAATTTGAATTATTTTTTGTAGGTTTTGTAGCGGTTTTAATGTAGTTTCTGAATACGTAAATTTTATTTTCTAAAACTAATTTGAGTGTTGACAGGGATCAATTTGCTTTCTCGCCGGTCAAACATTGTAAACCGTAAAGTATCTTACAAATTGGGACGGGGGGAGTGATGGATTATAGGGGTATCCAAACTATAATAATTAATGGAGAGATTTGAGCTATGAAAGTGAAGAAGGTGATAGATAGTAGAAATGTGTGTGAATATTGGTTCTAAATGTTAGGAATTGTGCTCTAGGGTTTACAAGTGACTCCATAAGGAGTATAACTAGAGAAATAATGGGTCGGGCCGCTAATATGGGCCCGATAGGTCCAATTACACAAAAGACTAATCTAGTACATACAGATGATATTAGGAGTGGACTCGGGCCGGGCCAACCGACCCGGAACCGGACCGGCCCACTACTGTGCGGGCCCGGACCGGCCCGGTTTGGCGGTTAGGTCACGGTTTGGGCCACCCGGCCCGGTCATCAAGCGGTTCGGTCCCGGGCTCATATTTTGGTGAACCGGCCCGGCCCGGCCGGGCCCGGGCCCGGTCCGGGCCTCAACGGTCACTTTTTAATTTTTTTTTTTAAAATAATAGAAGGCTCCACTAGCCATTGGGAGACCTCCCAAACGGCTCTATAGCCGTTGGGAGCATAGGAGGCGGGGTCTGGGGGGTTAGGGGGGTGGGGTGGGGTGGGGTGCGGTATACAAAAAAAAACTATTTATACTCCTATTTTCTATACATTTTTTACACCTCTTCTTCTACAACTCTTCCTACTCTCTAAATTTTCTATTCTCTCTATCTCTCATATTCAATCATTTTCATTCTTCATCTTCTCCAAATTCTTTCTACATATATATAATTTATATAATTATGATATCTACTTATATACTTCCTCCGTTCTTTAATTCTTGCAACGTTTTGACTTTTGCACTATTCACAGACCTTACTTTGACCACGGTTTTCTACTAATATACATAATCAAATTATTTCGTATAAAATGTTATTGAATTCCTATCAATGTGAATTTCCAAAATATCAACTTTTTATAATGTTTACTAATACATAATTAAATATACTTACAGTCAAAGTTGTGTGTTGGCAAACGCGAAAGTCAAAGTGTTGCAAGAATTAAAGAACGGAGGATAGTATTAATTATCTACTTAAAAATATATACTTATACACATTCATATTATAATTCTTTACGCATTATATTATATATACTATATATAGTTATACATTATATTATATATTACTTATAATATATTTACACATTATATATTTATATATACTATATATATATATAAATTACTTAATTTATATATACACTTCTCGTTTATCTATTAAATTACTTAATTGTTTCATTTGTCATATTAATATTAGTTAAAGTAGTTAATTGTTTCATATGTCATATTAATATTAGTTAAAGTAGTTAATTGTTTCATTTGTCATATTAATATTAGTTAAAGTAGTTAATTGTTTCATTTGTCATATTAATATTAGTTAAAGTAGTTAAAGTTAATTGTTTCATTTGTCATATTAATATTAGTGATGGGGTTATGGGACTAGGTCCAGAGCCTAATCGGCCCAGGCCCCGGACTTGGACCAGCAGGCCCAAGCCCAGTGATCCAGAGCTCATTCCGACCCAACCGTTAGGCCCATCAAAGAGTGAAAGCTCAGGGCGGCCTGCCGTCCAGCCCTGCAGGGAGCCTGCCTACCAGCCCAGTCAGCAGCCTGCCTTCCAGCCTACCCGGGAGCCTGCCTTCCAGCCTACCCGGGAGCCTGCCTTCCAGCCCAGCAGAGAGCCTGTCTTCCAGCCTAGTGGGGAGCCTGCCTTCCAGCCCAGTGGGGAGCCTGCCTTCCAGCCTAGCCAGGAGCCTACCGACCACCAGCCCGCTGGGAGCCTGCGATCCAGCCCAACTGGGAGCCCGCGGTCCAGCCCAGGTGGGAGCCTGCCTCCAGCCCATCGGGGAGCCTGCCTTCCAGCCTACCCGGGAGCCTGCCTTCCAGCCTACCCGGGAGCCTGCCTCCAGCCCGGTGAGAAGCCTTCCTCCAGCCTAGCGGGAAGCCCACCGTCCAGTCCAGCAGGAGGGAGCTCAAGCGTCCAGCCTGCCAGCCAGGCTGACCTGCCAGCCAGGAAGAGTAACGGCCAACAATCAATGCGCTACTTAATTATGTGTTTAATTCCGTATTAATGTTGTAATTAATTTAGTCATTATTAGGTTCGGCAGTTACCATTTGTAATCGCCTATAAAAGGCAATTCGAATTTCAAATACAGATATGCTATTTCTGGCTAACTTTCCATATTCGTACTTTCCTAATTCTTGCTCGAGTGTCGTACGTAGCTTTCCTAAAGCCTACGAGCGTCCTATTTTGGACCAACATTGGTGCTTTCATTGAGAGCCTCTATTGATCTCTCACATCACTTTAGAAGGAAAAAATTCAAGAAATTCATCCCAATCCAAGGTGCTACAGTCCCACTTCCTCCTGTTCTCTTCGTCAATCACAGATGGATGTCGTGCGCCGACGTCGCTGTTGGTCTCCCTCATCGCCATGCCTATTCATGAGATAGACCTTCAAATGTGCGCCCACCTAATTCCTGTGGAGCAAGAGTCTGCTCTGCGTTAAAGTGGATGGACCAAGATTACACTAAGACCAAATTTGATTCTCCTCAAGGATGATGGGCTGATTTTTCAGCAACGCATTCGGGCCCGTTTGGCTCTAAAGCTAAGTTTCCAAAAATCCTCTATATTTGATACAAAAAAAAAATCATAAATTCAAACATTTGAAAATATATTTTAAGTGGTTTAATTGCTTTTACTCTTGTTAAGCGTGTGTAATTTTAACATTGAAAAACGGGCTTATGAAATCTGATCACCCACGTACACCGGGCGAGCACACACACTCGTACACTGGCCGAGCACACACACTCGCGCCACCGGGTCACGTCATATGGGTGTGGCGATTAATAAGCTCCAATATAAATGTTAATACCGCACACTCTTGACTTCATACGAGTTCTTGCGTGCTCTTACCCTTTCCAAGTGCATCACACTCCGACCTCGAGGGACGAGTCACCCATTCAAAAGTTTTTACTTGCGGGTTCAAACTACTAACCTCGGGCGGCGAGTTAAACTCTTATTAGGGGCCTAGAGCCACGCTCTTCCGAGCAATTTTTTCACTTAAGTGATATTCACATTTCTCGAAAAGGTTGATATACTTTAGTTCTTTGGGGTTAGATTATCCATTCGAGTGAGGAGTCCGACTCACTTACTCGCGGATTCAATCTTTCTTTCGGAGAATGGGTTGAGGCCTAACTTGGGAACTTGATGTCATTCTTTTCAAATAGTGAGTCCGACTCACTTACACACCGAGCTGTGGTTCGACACCAGGCCAAATGCTCTATTCTACACTAGTCTGCTTTATGTGTAGGTTTAACTGGATGAAGTGGGGGACTGAGGGTCATACCGTCTTCAAGGAAGCAAATGACAAACCTGACGAGTCTGAGTCCGACGAGAAGAATAGTTCTAGCCGTCCTATTGGCAGATGGTGATCATTGCAATAAAAAAGGCTGAGGATCTCACCTCTTGCTTCATCTTGGGAGCGTCAGATGTACTCTTTTTCCCTTCATTAGGATTTTTTCCCATTGGGTTTTTTCCTAATGAAGGTTTTTAATGAGGCATCTCCCCAACATGGATAAGGGCGGGGATTTTCTAGTCTCGTAGAAGAGCAACTGACTTGGACTACTCCCTCTTAGCCGAGTCTACTACTCGACTAAGGGAGTGGAGGACTCGTGATGGAGTAATGGGACTAGGCCCAGAGCCTAATCAGCCCAACCCTGAACTTGGACCCATAGATCCAAGTTCATAACCTGGAGCCTGCCTGCCAGCCCGGCAAAGCTAGCAACAAAAACAACAAATACAAAGGTAACAAAAGTAGGGGCAAGGGCAAGGCGGACGTCCCGAGCGGACCGCTACAGCCCGTCAAGCAATTGACTCCACTTGCTCAGCCGGTCGGGGCCATCCTCGACTACGCGGAGGAGCAAGGTTTAGTCGACTTTCCTGAGGAGTGTGATGTGGTGACTGCCAAGCGCAACCACGACCAATATTGTCGATTCCATCGGAGAGCAGGGCATGATACAGATGATTGCGTCATTCTCCGGCGGCAAATTGAAGAACACATCCAGAAAGGGTACCTGGGCCAATTCGTTGGCAAACAAGGAGGCATCCCGCAGAAGAGGAGCCTGACGTGGCAGCGGTCCGACCAAGCTACCACGTCAAAGGAGACACCCCCTGCCAAGAAGCGGGAGCTCGGCGCCTTCTCCGAGGAAGACGATGCCGACCTAGGGAACGGCCCCCGGAAGTACCATCGATGTTCGTTCATATTCGGGGGACCCCAAGGAGGCGACACCTCTGGAGAGCGGAAGCAGTGGGCCCGAGCCCTATACGTCGGGGAGATAACCAGGGCTCCCGTCGACAAGAGGGTGAAGAGGGACCCCATCTTCTTCACCGACGCAGATTTGCCACCGATGCCTCCGCCGCACAGGGATGCCTTGGTCATCAAGGTCGAAATCAACAACACGATCGTCCACCGAGTCCTGGTGGACAATGGTAGCTCCGTTAACATCATGTACTATGACACCTTCCAAGGTCTCGGGCTGGACCGAAAAGACTTGATCCCGGTGAGAACCCCACTCTCAGGCTTCACCGGGGACTCCATTGAGTCGGAGGGCAGCATAGTCCTCCCTGTGATGGTGGGCTCCGAGCCCTGCGTATCCAAGTTAGACGTCGAGTTTATCGTCGTACGCCTAACTTGTGCGCATAAGATCATCATGGGAAGGCCGGCCCTGGAAGACCTCAGATGTGTGATATCCCAAGAGCACCTATGCATGAAGTTTCCCACTCCGAATGGCGTCGGAGTCGCCAGGGGAGATCAGCGAATGGCGAGGAGCTGCTATCTGAAAGCTTGCAAACAAATCGGTCAAAAAGACTTGAGGATCCACACTATCAACAGCAAAGCCATGAAGTATGAGGAGGGTCAGCTCCGCGCTGAACCCACCTCAGACGTGGAGGAGATCCAGATTGACCCTGAGAGGCCGGAGCGGAAGGTCAAGATCGGGACCGGGCTCCCGGTCGGCTTGAGGGAGAAGATTATCCAGGTACTTGTCCTTTTCAGTGTTGTCTTCGCGTGGGGACCGAAGGACATGCCTGGACTTGACCGAAGCATCGCTGTCCATCGGCTGGCGGTCAATCCAACGGCGAAGCCCATCCAGCAGAAAAGAAGACACCTCTCAACCGAGAGGAGGGAATTCGTGAAGAAGGAGGTCAACATGCTCCTGAGTATCAAGCATATCCGGGAGGTCTTGTACCCGGTTTGGCTGGCAAACGTGGTCCTGGCCCCGAAGCCGCCAACCTGGAGGATGTGTGTTGATTACACTGATCTCAACAAGGCATGTCTGATGGATCCATTCCCATTGCCTAACATCGACCAACTAGTCGATGGGACGGCCGGATGTGAGCTCCTTAGCTTCATGGACGCTTTTCGAGGATACCATCAGATTTTCATGCACGAAGAAGATGCGGAGAAGACCCCGTTCATCACCCCAGAGGGGATTTTTTGTTATCTTGTCATGGCCTTCGGGCTGAAGAACTCTGGGGCGACGTACACGAGGATGGTGGCCAAGGTATTCCGGAAGGTGCTCGGAAGGAAAATGGAGGCGTATGTTGACGACATGATCGTCAAGAGCACCCGGGCGTCCGATCATGCAGATGATTTGGCAGAGATCTTCGGGATCATGAAGGCAGTCCGTCTGCGCCTGAATCCGAAGAAATGTACCTTTGTCATCCAAGGTGGCAAGTTCCTGGGGTACATGGTCACACGGAGGGGGATTGAGCCAAATCCTGAGAAGGTAAGGGAAATACTTGACATGGAACCCCCGAGGTCAGTGAAAGAAGTCCAGATTCTCACCGGCCGGCTAGCAGCCCTCGGACACTTCATGTCCAAGTCCGCCGAGAAGTCCCTACCCTTCTTCCAGGTCCTAAAGAAACAAAATGGTTTCATCTGAAATGATGAGTGTCAGCGAGCCTTCGACGACCTGAAGAAGTACCTCCTCTCTGAGCCTTTACTCAGCAAGCCGGAGAGGGGGGAGACGTTAATCCTTTATCTTGGGGTTTCCCAAGGTGCAATCAATTCCGTGCTGGTTCGTGAGGAGGAAGGCGTTCAGCGTCCCGTCTACTATGTGAGCAAGACCCTCCAGAATGCTGAGCTCCGGTACACCCCGCTCGAGAAGACAATATATGCCGCCTACATCACCGCCAAGAAGTTGACACACTACTTCCAAGCGCACCCGATCAGAATCCTGTCGGACCAACCCCTAGGTGCCGCTCTGAGGGCGCCCGGCACAACCCGGGTAGTGAAGTGGTCGATGCTCCTCAACCAATACGAGGTTGACTTCCAGCCTCGGGCGTCCATCAAAGGCCAGGCTCTGGCTGATTTCATTGTGGAATGCACGGCCCGAGAAGTGGCAGATAGACAACAGGAGAGCAATGAACAATGGTGGACTCTAGCGACTGATGGGTCGGCAGGTGCCAAGGGATGCGGGGGCGGAATCGTCCTCATCTCACCCGAGGGATTCCGAGCCTACTATGCCTACCACTATCTTTTCAAAGTCTCAAACAATGAGGTGGAGTACGAGGCCCTACTATCTGGGCTACGATTGGCGGCCGCCATGGGAGCAGAGTGGATAACGGTGAAATGTGACTCCCGTCTGGTGGTTTCACAGGTCAAAGGTGAGTTCGAAGCGAAGGAAGAAAGAATGATGAAGTATCGAGATGTTGTTCGGGAGTTGCTCGGGTTGTTCAAACAAGCAGAGTTGATCTGCATCCTGAGAAATCAAAACAAGCAGAGTTGATCGCCATGGGAGTACCTGGGCTCTGATACCAAATTTGTAACGCCCCTCTCAGGGTTAAAAGAAACGTTACATAAACTTACTACTTAAAAAAAACTGCAATATAACGGCCGTTTGTTTAGGAACAAACCCTGATAAAATATCAAATATAACATAAATATAGCTCCAAATAAAAACTCAATAAAATCTAGTTATCACCATCAACTGTGATAACCACCTGGATCCAGGAATTTACTAAAACTTCAAAATCTCAATTAAAATAAAGTAATAATAATCACTTTATTATAACATCTGAAATACTTAAAGAAAATAATAACTAGTAGAAGCCACCAAGGTCGTTCCCGTTAACTCATTTCGGCACGCGTTCCACTCCCTCATCATCTTCCTAGGCCTTGG